CGCTGTGAGGAGGATGGATAATCGTGGTCCCAAGAGACAGAGCCCCCTACGGCTTCAGTAGAGTAGCTTGATTGCGCGCGCGGAATGTCCAAAGTGCCCCAATACCCCCCACCCGTCCCTAGCTGGTAACACAGTAATGAATGATGAATTAATAGCCATTTACTCCTGAATTTATTGAAAGTTGTCCCATCTTGTCCAACCTTTGCTTTTCCTTTCCTGTGCGACACTGTCGCAAGTTCGTAGTAATTGTGGCGAGCATCGTGGTTGTTCGTCGGAGGTCGATGTTTGGGTCTCCGTTGGCTCGGACACTCAAAACATGAAAAGGTCAAAATTCTAGTTCGGGATTTTCAGCCCTACGTCCAGTAGTATAGTAATCTTTGCATTAAGGAATGCCCAATCGGGGGTTACAACGGTGGAAATTGAGAGAGCTTGGTAGGGGATCGCTCGGTGCTGTCCTAGTCTTTGTCAGTTTTCTTCCTCAGTGAGTTAGGCATCGGTCTTTTCTAGCTGAGGTTCTATATTTCTCTTGGAAATCGCCCCCTTCTACACAAGTCGTCCCTCCCCTTATATTCTATAGAGGGCCGGTGTATAGGTCGGTTTGGGTTATAGTCTATGCTCTATGCACCAGGATGCATGAGTCCTCTGCCGCGGCCTTCAAGGAACTCGCCTTGTCGTGTAGAGAGGACTCGACAGAGCCACAACCATCTCTGGATGTCGCTGCCATTGTTTTGGCACTTACCCGTCATAGGCTGTTTGTGGCAGAGCGGCCTCCCCTGGTGAACCATCTCAAGGCTTCCTCTATTGCCAAGGAGCCCCCACTTGGAGGGGCTAATGAGTGGGCCCTAGAGCCTTTGCCCCAAGAGTAGTTGAAGTCCCGTGTCATGTTGTGTCACGCCGGTTCCATGACCCTGTTGAAGGAGTGGCCGATAGGGGCTTGCACCGTGATGGCGAGGGGTTGAGCCCGATCATTGATGACGGGGTTAGTCAATCGGTGTGCACAGAGTCCTGGTGGTCTTGGGTCAGACGTCCTTCTAGCGGTTCCCGAGCCTTTATGTCTGCGCACGGCATCTAAGCTGAGCGATGCTGGAATCGAGCATCATATGAGGAGGCCTGAGCGAGGGTCTAGCTGGCCCGTCGGGGAGTCGCTAGCTCTAGGCCCGCGTGGGGCACCCTACTTATCTTGGCCTCGTTTGGGTCAAGCGGCATGGCGTCGGAGCGCTGGCTTAGTGCCAATCCAACGCTCGGTGTCCCACTCCCGTGTGAGGGCTTGATGACAGGCCTCCTTGTCCCAGGCTGCACTTTACGATTGCCGGGTGCATTCCGTGCCCTATGCTCGGGTTGCACTCGTTGGGTGCACCACTCAGTGCCGTCTGCTCCTATCTTTGTTGCTCTCAGGGAGCGATCACGGGGCGCGCATTGGTCGGGCTCCAGAATTACTAGCGAAGAGGCTGGTGTAGCTCGTGAGGCCGCCGTGGGGCCTGCTTGTCAGCAGGCGGGGCGGTTTCTCCATGTGCCCTTCCAGCTGACCCGTGGTGTAGTCTTTTTACAATCATTGGTTGACGTGCCAGCAGGTGAAGTTAACAGGCGCGATGCCCGGTGCTCCATGACCCGCCACACCACACGGGTGACGACCCGAAGGTCGAGGGGCTGTGGTGATTTGGATGCGCGGATCTGGGCCATCAGTCCTACGTGGAGAGGGAAGGGGCGGCATATTGTAATATACACATGTGAATAATAAAGTATGTAAGGTAGCTAGATGAACCGTTGTTATAAGTGCACCAATTAATTAAAAATATAGAAATTCAGATAATATTTTCTAGCGATCATCCCGAGTTCGATTTCTATATGTATTGGGTTCGTTACAACACATGGTCACATTTGCCAGTAGGTATCTAATGTAAAAAAAAAAGGCTGTCAGGGTGGTGAGCGCAAGGGTTTCCTTGGCGTAGCGGAGCCGATGATTTCCGGACTAGACATATAACCCAATCAAATACCTTCCCGTGGCCGTCTTGAGTTGTAATATAAAAGCCTATCGATTGATCTCATGTTCTCATCTCCGTCGATTTCCCATTGTGGCCAGGCCAGCAACCCTACAACTCCTTCCGTACACATATGCCGGGCTCTGTTCTTGGGGGCGGCATGGCGCACAGCGTCAGCGCGTCCGGCATCGTCGTCCAGGTCGTCAAGGGGTAGCACGTGCACAAGATCGATGGGTACTCCCGGATCAAGGGACTCGGCAACGACAGTTTCATCACATCCGACCCGTTCGACGTCGACGGGCATCCTAGGGTCATCAGGTACTTCCCTGACGGAGACTGCACGAAACCCTCCGGCTGGATAGGCTTCTTCCTGTACCTCAACCACAACCCTGGCACGGACGTCGAGGCAATCTGGGAGTTCAGTTTGCTCGATCGCGTCGGAGTCCCGTCGTATCGTTCTCGCCACGACACGGTTCGCATTTTCAACCAAGAAGACGGATGGGGATGTGCAAAATTCATCAAGAGGAAGACCCGGGAGGAATCAGACTAAATTCATCAAGAGGAAGACCCGGGAGGAATCAGACTATCTCAAGGATGATTGCTTCAGAGTCAGATGCGACGTCAACGTCTGCACGGCGGTCCGCACCGGCAGCATCCCGCGGGTTGTCAGTTGTCACCGTGCCACCATCAGGCATGCACCAGCATATGGGCCGCCTCCTCGAGTCCCACGTGGGAACGGACGTCACGTTCCAGGTCGGCGAGGAGACCTTCGCCGCGCACTGGCCCGTGCTCGCCGCTCGGTCGCCGGTGTTCATGGCGCAGCTCTTTGGCCAGATGAAGGAGACGACCACGAGCCACGTACGCATCGATGACGTCGACCCGAGAGTGTCCAGAGCCATGCTGCACTTTGTCTACACAGATTCGCTACCGGAGATGGACAGCAGCGACGAGCCGGCCGTAGCTCAGCATCTGATTGTGGCGGCGGATAAGTACGGCATGGAGAGGCTGAAGCTCATCTGCGAGGACCGTCTTTGCGACAACATTAACACCGGCACGGCAGCGACTACACTGGACCTTGCGGAGCAGTATGGCTTCAGAGGGCGGAAAGAGGCGTGCTTCAAGTTTCTCAAGACTCCCGGAATCTAAAGGCGATCATGGATAGTGACGAGTTTCAGCGTCTGACAACCAGGTGCCCTTCCCTTCTTAGCGAGCTGCTCGCCAACGTGGCACCCTGACGCTCCAATCTGAGACACAAAAATTATTAAGCTATCACTAGTATACTCTCTATGCATGTAAACTTTTTCTTAGATAATGGGAACAGAGTTTAGAGATAATGAGACCAATTATTACAATCTTGTAAAATACCTCCACTAGTACAGAAAATGTTTTTGACTAGCGGTTTTTATTAACCCTAAGTGTAAAAGGCCCGTGAAAATTAGCGGGCACCACTTAAAAACCGACTCACGCTGTTTTCCACGCTTGTGGTTGCCAGAAATCAAACATGTGACCTTGTGCCTCCCCTGTTACTACCCAAAACACCGCACTTGATAGCCTTTTGGGACAAAAAAGGCATAAACGTTGCCCACGTATCCACTCTATCAGAAACTTTTAACTAAAAAGTTTTGGATCTCATTAAGAGCAACTACTTTGTCTTTGGTCGTTTTTCCATCATCCGAAGTGATTTGATTTTTTTTTAAATACGAATTTCAAAATAATTAATCTTATAAAACATAATCTCAGATGCTACACTATTTTTAAATAAAAAGTAGTCAACCAAAAAGTTTTAGATCTTTTCAAGTAGCACAACTTTTATTCAGATCATTTATCCATCCAAGATTATTTGAAAAGCTCAAAAATTGATTACAAATTATTTGTATTGCCAGTAGGTTAAGAAAACTGCCAGTATGAATAAATCTTTACTGGCGGTTTTCTTAAGGCTACTGCTAGTAGAAACAATATATTAACACAGGTGCTTCTTAACCTACTGGCGGTGATAGTTAAGAGAACCGCAAGCGTAGTTTTAATGCAGGGACGGTGTAGTGGTATTGTAGTGGTCTCTCCTTCCCAACAAAAAACCAAGAGATGCCCGCCTCTGGACTACTCTCTCTCTCTCTTGATCGATCCGTAGACTCAGCTCTCCCATGGGTTAAGCATTTCGAGTGTCAAGTGGTTCGCAGGGTTAAACTAGGTGGTTCTACCAGAACTAATTTCCGACACAATACTTGAGATTTGAGGTCATTGTTTCCATCCTTTGAAGCATACATTTTTTTCATCACTATATCATTGTCAGTTAATGGTATTGAGTGTTAAATAAAAAATAGGTACAATGCTGCCACTTGTCCATTGCCCGTTCCAAAAACCAGTCCAATCTGGCTGTGATTTGTGATTTTTAGTAGTCTTTAAATGTGTTTAATGCATACCAAGCCTCTCATCTTAGTCATTCGGTATTTTGGTAAGACAGTATGCCATCTGTGACTACAATCACCCTAAGCAAGTGCAAATAGAAATATTAAATTTATCAGAATAAATGTAAACATATATACAAGAAAGACTAGCAGGAGTCCATATTTGATTACTCCATAGAGGAATAATAACAAGTCAGGTTTCAATTCCTGCTATTTCCTGGTAATCTCTAAGCTCACATCAACACCAGCCCTACAGGCTACAGGCACTGGAAGTAACACAGCCAGGACTATCAAGCTGCACATTAAAATCCTCCTTGTTCCGCTGCTCTTACATTATTAGTTGTAATAACTCCTTGTAACTGTCAGTACAAAACTACAAATAAATCTTCTTTTAAATGAAAAGTATTAATAACAGTACACCCTGCGTTCAAGGCAGCAAATGAATCGGTACTCTCTATCAAAACGGAAACAATGCATTTCGGATGCCATGATCCTGTATAAATATATGCATCCCCGGCCTACCATCCAAGCTAGCTATAGCTCTCCCATTTCAACTGATTGAATATCGGGAAAAAAAAGATCAACTGATCGAGAGCTACAGACTAACATTGCAACCATGGCTTGCAACAAGATCACCGCTGCAGCTACATGTGTCCTAGTACTGTCGCTCGTTTTGCCATCAGGTAATAAACAACTCCACCTCTAGTCGTCTTCTTCTACCTCCAGCTTGTGATGTCAGCTAAAAACAAATCTCTTTTTGATTGAGCAGACGTACAGGGTGTAAAATGGACGCCATGCAACCCGTTTGTGCGCAGTCGGATTGGCTCATGCCGCGGCGGCGATCGCCCGGATTGCAAAGGTCGGTGCCTACTTGAGGGCTACTCGGGTGGAATCTGCGACACCAAAGATATCTGCTATTGCATTCAGACTGACTGCTCTTCGGATGGTAAACTGAATGGTGGCCAGAGAGGGTCGCCTGTGCCGGCACCAGAGTCTAGGGGTGCATGAGCAAGAGCATATAGTAGCAACCATATATGTACCACCATAAAGAATTTAATGTATGGTTGTGTGTTTTTGGGTAATATAAATGGCGGTGTTGAATTTGTGTGCCCATTACTTTGATAAAACAAAATAAAAGTATTTTCCCTATTGTGAACTACTATCACTGTGGGTGACAAATTACATCTATGAAACGCGAATTTCCCCATGGGTGACAAACATTTGTGTTGTTTTTTAGCTATATTGATACGAAAATTCATGATTAACATGTTGGATTATATAATCATGACAGGGCAATGAAAAACGCACAGGATTCAATTTTTTCCTTGTTCGTGAATAAACACAGAGGGAAATTTGTTTGCCCCGTTAATTCTACAAGAATTCCATGTAAAAGAGTAATTGCCCTATCAGTTTGATTGTTACGCACAGGGAAAACAATTATCTTGTTGAGTCAAATTTTACGCAAATGGAAAAAAGGTACCCACAACTGTTTATAAACCGTAAACCTAATCCATCCTGCCTCCCTCCTATTCAATGCACGCTCATCTACTTAGTCCAACATTTCCCTTCAAAACCAGCCCCATCCAACACGGCCACCCTCATTGACCACCACAACCCCGTCCCACTAGTACAGAAAGTGGCTGTACTCCCGGTTGGGAAACCCTTCAGTCCCGGTTTCCCAATCGGGAGCACGAATCCGGGACTAAAGGGCTCCCACTTTAGTCCCGGTTTCTCGCCCGGGACTACCAACCGGGGCTAAAGAGGCCTCCCGGCCTGGCCACGTGGGCCGGCCCTTTAGTCCCGGTTGGTATTACCAACCGGGACTAAAGATTTTCTTTTTTTTTCTATTTTCAATGATGATTCGTTTTGGTTTTCGAATAGTTTTTTGAATACGCATTCTATGCTGCTAATAATATACGTATTCTACACGTTTATAATGTTCAAATATTTTGTACAAACTAAAGTATGAAACTAACGTATATATTACATGCATATACATATATTGTACGTTATTTTATGTCCATATAATGTATATATATATATATTACAAATAAAGCTTGCATTGTATATTCTATCATATCCTTGGGATAACAAATTCACTCCATCTGGTTTGGCTTCCATGTTTCGTTGACGTCATTGTAGAACTCGCCTGCGGCGTTTAGGACCTAGTCATTAAGAAATCCTGCTATGGTCTCTTGAATTGCTTTCAGTTGGTCACGTGGTATGACTTTTTCCTTCAACCATAGAGTCTTCAATAAAAGTTAAAGGAAAAGTATTCATATATATATATATATATATGTGTGTTGGTCACGTGATTACTTATATATATGAGCAATAAAAGAAATTGTGAATATATGAATATATTTATATAACGTACTTTGAGGATCTCTTCAGGAGTTCTTTTTTAGTACGCCATGATGAACTCGCAAACATAGTATCCGCAGTAGTTGTTCTTGCCTCAGAACCCACTTTTACGAGAAAAAAGATCCGGTGAATTGAAAGCATGCATGGTGTTAATTGAATTATATATATATAAATGTAGCTAGTACTTACTTTGTGTGCGATTACATACAGTGGCGCTTTACAATGTTTCATGTGGTGTTCCTCAATGAAACTTTTCCAAACACTGCGCCCAATAAAATAAAAAATTAATTTGGCCTTTAATAATTGTTGCAGTTAAGAGATCGGGGTATATATAGTTGCTAGAGAGAACAAATTACCCTTGGATAATATCTATCATGTCTTGGTACTCTGTTTGTGCTTTTCTTAACGAGTCTAAGATGCTCAATAGACTATTGGCCATATCGATGACCATCAATATCCAGTGATTGCTGCATATGTTTTTATACACAAATATGATCGACATTAACTAGAGTCAACATATATATATATATATGGGAGATAGCTTAGCTAGTAAGCAAATAATTGAACAAATGTCCATATGATCGACATTAATTATTTAACACTCACTTGAACTTGTAGGGGAAGAGTATGTCCTTGTTTTGTTGGTTCACTAAGAACCTCATGAGATTTTTCTCGAGTTCAGCTTTCCATTGAGCTGGGGGATTAGGGTGTTTGAATACGACATTTGGATTAACGAAACCAACATCTTATCCTTTCTCTTTCTGAGTTCTGTCATCTCATATCTGCATATATAAAAATATAGTGTGAGGATATATAATTTATATATATACATGTAGCTTTATATATATACACTTTAATAGTAGAAATAATCACACTTACAGACAATAGCAGCTAATGAGACTTTTGTCGAGAGAGTCCAGGTGGCATAGTTGGTGTAATTCTAAAAACTCGACATATATAATGTCATCGCCACGGAAGTAATGTTGGTTTCTAACTCTGACAGAAACAAAGGTCTCCCTCCGTTCACACGCCGCAATGTACCACTTGTTTAGCAGGTACATTTGCGTACCCAGTTTACCTAAGGCCTCAGGGTTGTATAGACTCTTTCCATGTTCAAATTTCTTCCAAGGATCCACTTTCGGAGCAGAAGGTCCTTCAGCGAGCACTTGGGCAAGGTCTAAACTAGTATCCTCATAAAACCGAACCAGTTCCTCATAATCGACGTCCAGTAAGTCTAAGTTTGAACCATATTCATTACGAATGACAAGAGGGGGGACTGATTGTTGTGATTGTTGTTCAAGTTGTGCAACACCTTTCCGTACTCTAGTCTTTTTCTGCACCGCCTCAGATGACTTGGTGAGAGATCTTTTGTAGTCTGATTTTGGCAGGGTCTTTTGAGATTCCCGCTTTTTCTGGTCCACCTTCTTTCTTAGAAGATCTAAAGGTAGGTAGAAGTACGGTTTCTCCGGGTTCTCCCTCGCTTCTCGTTGCTTTCTTACTTTTTCGAAGAAACTTTTCACATCTTTTTATACTGCAGGATTTAATTCCTTTTCACTTTTCTCGTAAGACAGTTTTTGGGGAATAACTGGATTAGAGGAGGCTTTCTTCTTTGCCGGCTGGTGGGCCAACGACTTTGTTTGCGGGGCAGACCTCTTAGGAGCTGGCTGCTTCTTGGTCATAAAGGGAGGCGGGGCAGGCGTTGGAGACCTCCTTGGAGGCATTAGAGACCTCCTTGTAGGTGGCGGCGGTGGCGGCGTTGCATAATCATTGCCCGGAGCACTATGATGATCTGGAGATTGAATAATTGGACTTAGGTTGGCGGAGGCCCTGCTGTGTGAGTACAAAAAAGAATAACTAGGTATAAGAAATTGTTATTATTAATCATGCATGTCAATAGAAAATTAGTGAAAAAATTGTTTCGTTCACTTTTGTCCGCACCTATTGTCTGGCAGTTGAGGAAGCGGCGGTGGACTAGAGACCCCGGGAATAATGATGTAGCGCTTGCGCCATAGTATGAATGTCTTCTCTGCTTCTCCTAGAGTCTTCTCCCCATCACCTCTTGGAATGTCAAGAGCCAGATCACTAAAACCTTTGTCAACTCTATCCACTGAGTCGCTAACATATCCAGGTGGTATTATATTTCCCATGGATTCTTGGTGTCTTGGTAGGATCTGGAGGAGAAAAAACACCGAGAGCCACCATGATTGTGGCATTCTCTTTTGGAATTCGTAGCTCACATGATGTAAACGGTGCAGTGATGTCATCCACGGGGAAACGTAGCATTGCGTCATCTTGATTTGGTAACTCCGTGGAAGCGCAGCTGCTTTTCAACTGATTAGGGGGGCTAATATTAATGTTGATTCCTTGATCTGATGCCTGCCTTTGGGCACTCATTGCTATTTGCACTTGCTTTATGATTTCATCCTGCATTCTAGCTTGCATGTCTTTTTCACGCTCCTTAGCTTGAAGCAACGCCTCCCGTGACTCACGAACATATTCCTCCAACCTACTGATCCACACTGCTTCCTCATCCTTCCTTCTCTGTCAGCGTCTGTAGGTATCTCTGTCGTTAGGGAAACCATGCTCCCAAGAAATGTTCTGTCCTAAACCTCTCGTTCGGCTACTGTGTTCAGCAGTCCTGATGGCATACGTCAGTTCATCCTTCTCTCTATTGGGTCTGAACGCACCAATAGCTTTAGCTTGTAGAGCATAAGAAAATCTTTGTGATGCTCTTTCGAGTTTTGGGCCATGAACCAGCTTCCCGGTCTCTAGGTCCAGTCTTCTCCGATGAGTGAAAAACTAATTCTTCGCATGTTTGGGCCAATTGAGTGATTCTGGTATGATACGCTTGGAAAGAATGTCCACTTCTATTTTTTCCCACCTGGGAATGGCAGTCGCGTAGCCACCAGATCCCATGCCATGGTGGTATACCTTCTGTCGGGCATTCTCTTAGTTCCTTCTCACCCGTTCCTCACCCTCTTCTGATGTCTTGTACTGTACAAAATCATTTCAGTAGGGCCTCAACTTCACGAGCGGGCCCTTAGTATTGAAATTGGGTGTTAGGTTCTTCTTGACGTATTTCGTGTATAGGGATTTCTTCAAAGTCTGGAATTGTGTAGCCATCTTCTTCATAGCCCACTTTCGAACTAGCTCCTTCAATTCATCATCGTTGATATCATCATAATCATCTGCTTGCAACGTGAAATGTTGAAGGATATCATCCCAAATTAAATTCTTATCAAGATCAGAGACAAAACTAACATGAGGCTCGTTGATCTTTTGCTTCCATTCATGGGCACTGATCGGAAGTCTGTCCCTTATAAGGTACCCACAGTGTTGCACGAATTTCCTTGCATGTGGACCAAGTGGTTCGCCTGTCTCGATATTGAATTCCGATATTATGTAGCGCCCCTCCAATGGCTTTTTCGGGCCTCGAATATTTTTGCTTTTCGCCGTTGTGGTCGTCGATCCAGAGGGCTACGTATAAAAAAAGAATAAATAAATATCATGTGTACACATAATAGATGATAGATATTCAAATATATATATAATATTCAAATATATATATAAATATATATACCTCGCAAGTATTTTCTTGCACAATATTTTCTTGGTTATCTTCAAGAGCCAGGTATTGACTCCTG